GGGTTTAGGGTTCTAGGGGTTTGGGTTTAGGGTTTGGGTTTAGGGTTTAGGGTTCTAGGATGTTAGGGTTTAGGGTTTAGGGTTTAGGGTTTAGGGTTTAGGCTTCGGGCTTGAGGCGTGTAGGGTTCAGGGTTTGGGGTTTGAGGGTTTGAGGGTTTGAGGGTTTGAGGGTTTGAGGGTTTGAGGGTTTGAGGGTTTGAGGGTTTGAGGGTTTAGCCTGAAGGGCCGGTCCCCTTTTTGGGGTTCCTTAAACGTCACTAGTATTAGGGTTTGGGTTTAGGATTTGGGGTTTCGGCTTTGAGGGTTTGGGGTTCGAGGGTTCGGGTTTAGGATTTAGGAGCTTGGGTACCGGGAGGATTCTTGGGTCAGGGCGCTCAAGCCGCAGTAATCCGACTGTGAAGACAAGCTTCGGGTCGAGGGTTTAGGGTTTAGGGTCCAGAGCTTAGGGTCAGCTATCTCACTTGAGCAATAGCTTTTTCATCGCAGTAGTCGTGAAAGGATGTCGGACAGCGTGGCGAGCCCTGTCATAAACAAACACCCTTTGCCATTGCCTTTGCGTGGCAGGCGCAGTTGCGGTGCATGCGGCGGCTCGTAGATGCGTGCTCGTGCCTGTAGAAGCTGGTGCAAGTCACTGCGGATGTTGGTCATCTCGTGCAGTGCTTTGTCGACGCTGTACTCATTGTCCTCCACCAGCGATGCTATGCAAAAGTTTGCGATCAACGTCCAACATCTCCTCAGTGCCTGCAATGCGACGGCCGTGGCCGCGCGGGAACAATTGCGTGCACTAGTCAAGCACGTTTTTTCCATTGCCTTCAGCGCTGCCAAATGTGCCCCTTTACAAAAGTGCGTGGCACTGCTAAAAATGCGTTGCCTTGCCGACAGCCAACTGGCGTTGATTTGCATGCTTTCACTGCCGATTGTCGGTGTCTCGTCGAAAAGTTCGGTGCTGATGAGCTGAGCTTCTGTGCAGATCATCTCCTAACCCATTACCACCCCAAACCCCCCTAAGGAGCCGTTAGCTTAGCACCCTCCCCAAACATAATATAAAAACCCACTCCAAACCCCAAACCGTCGGTTGTTCCCAAGACTCCTGACCTTGAACCCCAGGTTTGTCTGGATCTAATGTCCTATCACATCCGGCAGGAGACGGAATGCTTGCAAAACGCCGGAGCTTACATCGAATGCCCACCAGATGCGGAAGCTGCAGCAGAGATCTCCAGAATTCTGCACGGATTAGGGTCTACTTTGTCTTTAAGGTTTAGGGTCCCCTTTCGTCCCAAAACATCAACCCCCTCCAACCCTCCTCCCAGACGCTCCCCAAAGCTCAACACCAAAGCCCTTTCAACTCTGACCATCCAGATGTAAATCCGAAACCGTAGCCCAAACAAAAACCCAAACCCCAATCCCTAAACCCTAAATCGCTAGCTAGACCCTAAGACCCTAAATCCTAAGTCCCTAAACCCTAAAACCCCAAGCCTGAACCCTAAATCCTTAAAACCTAAACCCTAAAACCCTGAAACCCAAACCCCACCCTAAAGCCCTAAGCCCCCAAAGCGCTCAAACTCGGGACCGCCGCACCCCAAAGCTTCGCCAAGACGTCGCCATCCGCCACTGAGGCCCGGTGGAAGACCGGTGAGATCCGGGGCAAACCTTGCGGAGAAGGGGCTTTAGGGCTTTAGGCTTTGGGTCTTGGGGTTTCAGGGTTTAGGGTTTAGGCGGGCTTGGGTTCAGGTGCAAACCTCTCACGATGAGGCTAAGGCAGTTGGGGTTGAAGCTTAGGGTTTGTTCGAGGGTCTTGTGCCGTCTGCATTTATCAGGGCCAGGTTTAGGGTCTGTTTTATGCTGAAGCGGAGGTCGGGTTTCGGTACCGATGCTCTGGTCTCCTATGAATCCTCACGTATGCCTGCGACTTCCGCAGAAGGCTAGGGAAGTTAGGGTTTAGGGCTGCAGAAGGGTTGGGGATTTAGGGTTTAGTTTAGGGCTTCGGGCTTCGGGTTTAGGGTTGACGAATCATAAACAAGACTGGGAAGGTATCCTGTGCAGTCTAACACGGGTTCAGGCCTGAGTGTAGATGCCCGGACGGCACATCTCTAGTTGCAAAGCATGCTTGCCAAAGTCGCCATCTTAGGGGCCGAGTACCCCAGCCCAAAAACGGTTAACCTTTTCAATTCTGGTAGGAGTCTGTAAGCCCCAAAAGGTGAAAGGTTACCTACTCAGCTACTAAGCCATGTACCGCGTCTTCAAGCGACTGCTTCCTTCTGTCGCAACGTCCGTCGCCAAACGAGAAAACTCTGGGTTATAGAATAATGATAATGTACGGGACTTAATAATTAGAATAGGGTTTTGGGGTACATTATACTATCACCATAAGAAGGAACCCCCAAAATAGTATTAGT